CTCTAACCAACTGAGCTATGGAGCCTTTTTTGCTTGTTGCAAGTGTCCATGTGTCCGCGGGGTATAAACAGCAGGCGGAGCGGGATCCATGCGTTCCCCGGTGGCAGCAGACGTGCGGGGAGACGCTCGTGGCGCTGCGGGGAGGAGGCTGCAGGTCCATAAGGCGGCACGAGGTGAAGCGAAGCGCAAAGGTCGACGCACCGCGGGACACTGCGAATTTCACCGAGCCCAGCTGGGCGCTCCATCTGAAACGCGGGCTTCTCGCGATTTTATGCCAATTCAGACGGCCGCCTCCTGACTGTCACTTCACTCGGTGTCTCGCTACACAACTCACGCCAGTGAGAGCAACATGAGAGCAACAGGTTTGATTGGCACTGCCCACTCTCATCCAAATGTCCATCACGCTAAGCGCTGCATCGACGGCCCCATCAAGTGATGCGCAACAAACTGCGTTACAGACAGCCAAGCATCTACATGCCTGCCAAAGCTCTACACGTCGAGACGCGAGATGTCCATCTGAGGGTGCTTGGCAAGCAGTTCGGGCGTGGCGATCGTGTCCTTGTGCTTGAGCAGCTCCTTGAACGAGTTTTTGATCGTCACGTCGCTCACACCCGCAGCCTGGCTGATCCGCTTGGCTCCCTTGTCCACGCCCCAAAGCAGCGTCGAAAAGTAAATGCACGCAGCAGCGATCGTGATCGGACTTCGTCCCGCCAGCACGCCCAACTCGCGCACCCGCGCCGTAATGTCCTCGGTCGAGCGTGTAACGCGCATCTCCAGGCCCAGGTGGTTGCAGTATCGTCCAACCAGATCCGCAGCGCCCGTCGGACCAATACCGATCGGCGTCGACGTCCCACTGTTGTTTGCACTCGCTCGCGAGCCATCGACAGAGCCCGTGCCGGTCGCATTCAGACCGAACGCCTGCTGCATCTCCTTGAAACACTGGCCAATGTGCTTCTTGGACACGCTCGTGAGCGAACAGATCTCCGGGAACGTTCGCGGCACGTGGTTCATCTTGCATGCCACGTAGATCGCGGCCGCAATGATGGCATCCGGCTTCTTGCCACGCAAGATCTTCTCCTCCTCGACTCGTCGGTACGCCTGCTTGGCCACATCCGACACTGTGCGCGGCAGATGGATCGAGTCGCACTTGCGCTGGATGTCTTCAAATGCATCCAGCATGTTGCGGTCCCGCGTGCCGGTCGCACGATTCATCGTCCTCTGCAGGTCGCGCGAAGCTCCCGAGCCACCATCGCGATAGCCGATGCGCGACTCGAGTTGCTCGTTAATGCCATCCAGCAGCGGATTGCTTGCCGCTCCGACACGCGACGGGTCATCGCCGTCCTCGTTGGCAAACGTACGCCATTCCGATCGCGTGTCGATGATGTTCTCGCCCACCACAAGTCCGCAGTCAGCGCAAACCAGGTCGCCCGAGTCAAACTCCTCGGCCAGGTTCGGCGGGTCCGTCTTGCAGTCGCGGCAGATCAGTCGCACATTGAGATCGGGGACAAAATCGTCCTCGCCCTTGGGAGCATCGCCGCGGTCGGCGGCATAACGAGCGCTGAGCGCGAAGGGCTGCGCGAACGCATTCTGCTGCGACCTAGCAATGTCGGCCGTCATAGCTGCAATGCTTTGGCAAGCCTGCAACGACCAGCTGTGAACTTCTCAACTGTCGCTTCTCGAACGACAAACTGTTACGACGGCGTATCTTCTCGTGGAAGAGATGCGTGTACTTTGGCTCGTGCAACCACTTGGATGTCCTCTCACACTTCTGCTGCGGTCGCTCGCAAGACGTCGCAAATAGAAGATGGCGTTGTTCCTGTCTCGTGTCGACGAGATCGGCGAAACCTTCGGGACCGTGGACTGAGTAGATGCGAAAAAGCCGTAGCAGCCGTGGAAGCAGCGGGTGTCGTCTGCAAAAGCGAGGCAGATGATGGTGGCGAAAGGCGAAGGAGCAACCTACCGGCGATATGCGCCGAGGGTCATTAAAGCCAATTTCGCGGCTGAGCCTTCTCCACCTGCCTGCAGGCTGACCCGGATTTTAGAGACTCGATGGACAGAGGTGCGAACTTTCCGTGCGAGAGGCGCGTCGAGCTCGGATTGCGGAAGCTCAGAGCGCAGGAAGCGTGGATGCACGCGAGCCAACCTTCAACTTTTCCATCAAACAACACTTCGTCTTGCATTGTGAGCATGGCCTGATCATCGACCGCACCATCCGAAAACAGCAGCAAAGATGGCGATCGCAGCACCGAAGTATCGGAACGACGATGTCCACGCGAACGCCTCGGCCTCGGCGTCAGGACGAGCCGCCGCTAACCGCAGCAACGAGTCGAGCTTCACAGCATTCGCCCGAGTCTTGCAAGCATGCAAGGACCTTGAGCCTGCCGCAAGGATAGACCACGATGATGGTACCGCTCTTCTATTTGCAGAAGTATGCTCCGCCCTCGGGGAAGAAGCTCTCGACGATGCTGGCTACGTCGACCGCCGCCAGGATCTGAACCTCGAAGATGACGACCGAGCGGCATGGATCCTGGAGCAGAACACCTGGAAACTGGTGCACGCACTCACATCCGAGAGGCTGCACCGAGCCGAGAGGGGATCGCGAGATGGAGCAGAGGAAACAGATACGGCTGCCATTCAGCCATACGAGACACCACTGGCAGCGATCCAATCCATCTTCGAGGCAAGCGAACAGCTCAACGAGCTTCGCATCATCCGCGAATGGCTGCAGGACGCGCTCGAGCCAAGACATGTTGTCGAGGTGCGCAAGGGCTACCTCTCCTTCACCAAGAATCGCGTTCGCGCAGAGAAGCGCTCGTCCGTCGGTTCTGGGCCCAGCTCGAGCGACGGACGCAAACCCACTTTTGGCTCGGCGGCTAGCTCGAGCTTCGCACCCAAGAACCGCGGCAAGGCTGTCAAGCATCTCGACCCCGATGCAGTCTCGCGAGGTGAAGGCGGCCTTGAGCTCGAGGACGCCACGTACGAGAAAGCGTTGCTCAGGACGCTCTTCGAATACGCGCGTGCCGGACGACTGGATGCCGCCTTCGACCTTTGCCATCAAACCGACCAAAGCTGGAGGGCTGCTACTCTTCGCGGTGCCATGCTCTACCACGATCCTGCCCTGAGCCCCGATCTTCCAGACGTCGACCGCGTCGTGGGCAACCGCAATCGCGCTCTCTGGAAGTCGACGTGCCGCAAGCTGGCGTCCAATCCCAACCTGGACGAATTCGAGCGCGCCCTGTACGGCTCGTTGGCTGGCGAGCTCCAGCCGGTGGCCAACGTCAGTCAGAGCTGGGAGGAGTACCTGTGGGCCTACGTCAACGCAAAGCTCGAGGCTGCCGTCGACGTCAAGCTCGACGACAGGCACGGATGGTGGAGCCAGGAGGCAGACGTGGAGCTGTTCGGCGACGGAGAGCACGGCGCTGTCAAACTCGCTCAAGGCGCTTCTTCCTCATCCTCGGCTGCTGCCACTCTTGCCGGATCCGGAGCAGCAGGAGCACCGAAAGCTGAGGTGGAGCTTGGCTCTCTGTCCGGCGTCTTCGACAAACTCAGCCAACTGCAGTCGCACAGCATCCATCTGCAGGCCAACGACCCTTACCGACTGGTGCAACGAAGCATCATCTCCAACAACCTCCCGGAGCTGTTCAACCGCTTTGCGGACAACCTCGGCGACATGCAGACTGCGTTGGAGCCAGCGACGTTTGCGCGTCTGCTTCGCTTCTTTGCGCACCTGATTCTCTACCTCCGCCTGCTGTCCATCGCGTTGCCTGATTTTGCATGCAACGCGATCCTCAGCTGCTACGTGCAGGTCCTCGAGGTAGCAGGCGAGACTGACCTTGTTGCCATGTACGCCAGCTCGCTCGAGCCACAATCAGCGACGAGGAGCTACGCCAACTTCCTGCGCTCCATGGATGTCAATGCCAGCCGCGAGGCCAAAGCACTCGCCCTGCGGCGAGCCGAGGAGCACAGCCTCGATCTGGCGGCTGTTGCGAGGTGTACGGTGGACATCGTATTCGATGAGCTCTTCCCCAGCATCACGTCCGACTTTGACGAGCCGCTCAGCTTTGCGGCAGGTGGTCCGAAAGGGAAGGCGGGAGCGGCAAGGATGGATGCGACCAAGTTCGACGTGCATCTGGATGCAAATGAAGAGGCGCTCGTCAGGGCGATCGACTGGCTCACGTTCGACCCGGCGACATTCGCCGACGCCATCACCCAATCCAACGCGCTCACGCGGCTCTTCTTGTCAACGGGACGACTGCACGCTGCCAAGGTGCTGCGAGAGCGCATGCCGAGCGAGGTGGTGTCGAGCGTCGATACTCTAGACATCTCGATGGATCAAAGCATCGAGCGCTCCGGATGGGATACGTTCTTCACCGCACTCGAAGCGCACGTGGCCTACAAGCACTTTTGGACCACTCGACCTGCCGACGCGGCTGCGTCCAATGCGATCCAAAGCGAGACGGCGCAAGTGCCGCGCACGGACGGTCTGTCGAGGCGGGAGAGGATGAACTGGGCCAAGGCGCTCAGTCAGGTGGTCGAGCAGGCGCGCGATTTGGACCTCGTCCTGCTGCAGCGCGACTGGCTCAAGATGCCGCTGAGCGACGCCGAGGGCGGCCTGGAGGTGGAACGCCGCGCGCGCGAGCTGTTCGACATTCGCCAAACCTACATCCCCGAGATCGTCTTCCGGCTGCACGACATGCTGACCGAGTCGTCGAGCGTGCTGCCGGAGAATCTGGGCATGGCGATGCGACTCTCTGAGATTGTCGCCGACGAGCGCCACAAGATCTACCTCGAATTCATCCAGAACGGGCGCAACCTGCTGCAAGACTACCTTCTGCGCGTGCGCGAGGCCTCGCTGCTCCTGCTCAACAGCGGCGGCGACGTCTTCGAAAAGGCCACCGAATCGTGAGCAACGTAGAGGCGCTCCCTCTTACCCCACACCCAGCTCACACAATGCCTCAATCTAATTCATTCATGCATGAAACAGTCGAGCTGCCACAGCAGCAAAGGATGCGCTCATGCAGTATGAGAACATTTGCGCGATGTCATAAGAAGTTGAGCTACAGCATATCGACCCGGCTCCCTTTGGACCGATTGGTCAAGCCAAGCTGCCAAGAAGGCTTGAGGGTACGGTTGAGCCGAGGATTTGGTTCTTGGCCGCTGGCCTGTGCACGCGAGCTTCGTTGGCGGGGTGACAGGGCTGTGTGAAGCGTTGCTGTGGGCTGTGGGAATATTGACGTAATTCTGCGGCGTGAAGGAAAAAAAAGCTTCGGCCTCTCCGGCCAGGTCGAGGTGCAGAAGCCTCGCTTCACGGTGTCTCTGAGCGGCAGCCGAGCAGGGTTCTTGGATGCGCTTCGGCATGTTGGCATGTCGGCCGCTAACGATTCCGACTGCCCCTTCCCGAAAGCGCTGCACGCGCAACTGCACCGCAGACGGGAGCATGCATAAGTCAGAGGCAGTGCCTTGCCCGCACTGCCCTTCGCTACAGTCATTTCTTCTGTTCATGAGTGCGGATGACTTGCGCTGGCAACCGCTCACCAGTTCACCTCCTCCCTACGAGTCTCGGCGCAGGCGTCCTCACCTACGACCACCATCCCGGTCCCGCTCGCAAGTGCTCGAACTCGTGGCTTCCTCTTATACCCAGATATCAGCATGTCTGATGTAGAGACATCATCCCGCAAGAGCCTGTCGGGCCGCCGACCGAGCTTCTCTTCGATCCGATCGCGCCTGCGCAAGCCCAGTCTCAAGATGGGTAAGAGCAAGTCTCGCGCTGGCGACGACACCGCGCTCGACTCCGAGGAAGAAGATGCATCGGCAGACCGCAGCAAACGCTTTTCGATGGCTTCCGACAAATCGGTCCCGCCGCTCCCACCTCTGCCTCCACAAGTAACACAGCAGAGCCCCAGCCGTCCGAGCTTCACCGAGCAGTCGCGGTCAGCTTTGGATCCTTCAGCTTCTGACAATCACCTCGCCGACAAGAGAAGTTCCGTACTGAGCACATCCTCTGCCGGCCAAGCGGCACCTGCACCTGAAGGCGATGTGTCTGCCTTGGCACGCTCCGCACTCGGCATGACCCTTGGCGCACATACGTCCGAGGCGTCGCGGCCCGCCGGTGCCAACACGCCGGTCGCACAAGACGCATTCAAGGAGACCATCAACATGACCATGCTCTTCTTTGGCGGTACCGTGCTGGCCGCGTTGTTCGTGGCCAAGTATAGCATTCTAGCCGCAGCGACCATCTCGATCTGCAGCGGTCACATCCTCTACAAAACCTTGACTCAGCGGGCAGACGACGCCAAATGGGCGCTCGAGATGCAAGCCGCAACCCAGCGCGCAGCCGGCTTGAACGAGGGCGAGGAGTCGGTCGAATGGCTCAACAAGGCGCTCGCAACCGCGTGGCCGCTGATCAACGCCGACTACTTTGCTCCGCTCGTGGATCTGCTCGAGGACAGCCTGATGACGCAGGTGCCCGGCGTCGTTCACAACGTCCGCGTCGAAGACATGGACCAGGGCTCCATCCCGCTTCGAGTCAAGAGCTTCCGCGTTCTTCCCTCCGACGAGTCGGCCTTCTTGCAAGGCGCCGTGGCGCAGGCGCGCAAGGATGCCGGTCAATCTGGCGCGGACGTGCCTTCGGGCTCGAACGATGGCGACGCTGATGACCCAGACACGGGCGTAGATGTGGGCGACCACGTCAATCTCGAAGTCACCTTCACCTATCGAGGCGCCACTACCAAGAAAGGTCTCTTCCGCACTGCCACAAACAATGCCTCGAGTCAGTCCAAGGCATCCGGGAACGTCGCAGCGGGTCACCAGACTGAGTCCGACGACGAGCTCGATCAGCTCAAGGACGTGCCGACCGAACGTATTCACATGTTACTGTACCTCAGCGTAGGATTGCAGAAGATCGCCGCGGTCGACATCCCCGTGTGGATCGAGATGGTCGGTATCGAGGGCAAGGCGCGCGTACGCCTCCAGATGACACCTGTCGCTCCTTTCGTCAAGCATGCGGCCGTCACGTTTGTGGGAGCACCCAAGCTGGAGATCTCGGCGAAGCCGTTGGGCAAGAAGATGGTGATCGATGCCATGAACCTGCCGCTCATGTCCTCCTACGTTCTCCACGCAGTCGAGGATGTCATCAAGGGCTTCATTGCGCCTCTCTCCTACACAGTTGACGTTGCCGGTCTGCTTGGTGCTGGCGACGGCCCGCAAGACGTTTATGCCGTTGGCGTCATCTGCTTCGTCCTTCACCAAGCCGATGATTTGCCTGCGGCCGACTCCAACGGCCAGAGCGATCCCTTCGTCCAGGCCTCGTTTGCGCGAGCTGGAAAGCCGCTCTTCACGTCGCGCATCATCCGCAAGCGGCGCGACGCGGTGTGGCAAGAGACGGGCTTCCTGCTCGTTTCACCCGACGAGGTGCGCGACCACGACCGCTTGCGCTTCACCGTCTTCGACGCCGATCGTTTCTCCTCGGACGACCCGCTCGGCAAGATCGAAATTTCGCTGCACCGACTTATCCGCAAGTTCCGCCCAGACGGTGTCGGCCGCAGCACCAATCTGCTCGAGACGCGCACCGATCAGCTACTGCCGATGAGAAAAGGCGCTTCGGTCCAAGGTACCCTCAAATACAGCGTGGGCTTCTTTGGGCTCGCCCATGCTCCCGGTGCCGGTTTTGCCCCTTCGCGACGAAAGCTGCTTCGTGGCATCACCACGACTGCTGCCGATGACGCTGGCTCCATCGATCTCGTGTCTCCGGCTCACGGCGAGAGCCAGGCCGCTGACGACAAGATCTTGCCTCCGATCCCGGGGCAGGCAGCGTCGACGTCCGAATCGGGAGCAGACGATCTGAGCGCGTACATGACTGGCTTCGATCGTTTTGTCCACGGGCTTGGCTTGCCCATGGACAACGAAACGCTACGCAAGAGGAAGCTGCGCAAAGAGCGTGTTCAAAACTTGGCGAGTATGATCGAAGGTGCAAAGCTAGCCACCGTTGACCCTCCTACCGTCGAATTGCCTTCCGGCATTCTGGCGTTCCACATCCACTCGATCACGGGCCTTGAAGTGCCTGGGACGCAAAAGTCGCTGGGTGGCTCGTCGAAGCGACTCTCGCAAAAGTCGAGGAACGGCCCGGCGCCGACCGACGAGAGCCAAGCCGAGGGCGGATCGGCAGGGAAGCTTCCGTCTTCTTATGTGCAAGTCTTCCTCAACGACGAGGCCATCTTCCGCACCAGGACCAAATCGCTCAACCCAAGGCCATACATCAATGCAGGCAGCGAGCGCTTCGTCGGTGACTGGACGACGGCACGGATCGACTTTACAGTGCGCGACGCCCGCATGCGCGAGAGCGATCCGATCCTTGGCTGTGTCGGGCTGCGTCTCGCCGATGTTCTCACAGAAAGCAGCCGCACCACCGGCTGGTACACGCTCACCGGCGGACTCGGCTACGGCAAGATCCGGATCACGCTTCTCTTCCGCAGTGTCGAGCTGTCGGTGCCGCGACCGCTGCGCGGATGGAATGTGGGCATCGTGGAGGTGGCGAGCATCAAAGCGACGGGCGTTCCTCAATCCCTGCTCGACAAGAAGCCTGCTCACATCTCGCTCGAGACGGTCGGCGGCAAAGTGAGCACCGACGATGTTGATGCGGCCGAGGACTACGAGTCAGGCATGGGCGAAGACGCTACTGTCAGCTACGCGTTCCCGCTCAAGGAGCCTATCCGGCTGCCCGTGCGCCAAAGATATCCGAACTCGCTCTACATCAGCCTGCGAACCGACTCTCGCATGCCTGGGCGCACGCACCACCATGCCTGGGCGTTTGTGCCGCTGAACCGCATCTCGGACGAGACGCGGATCCAGCGTCGTCTGCGGCTGTTCGAGACGTCGGATTGGGATCGCGTGGAGCAAGACGTGCTACGCGCCACGAGCGATCCTGAGCTGCTGCAGACAGAAAAGGAGACGCCGAAAGCCAAGCTGCTGCCGGCGCTGGAAGAGATTTGTCGTACAGGCTCGGCAGTAATCTCGGACGAAGCGCTCCGGGCTGCGCAACTGCGAGCGGTAGGCTGGATCGAGATTGACATGATCTTCCACCGCGGCATTGCGCCTGAGCATCGCTCGTGCACCGCGGGCGATAACGAGATGCGATTTGCGTACGATACGTACATGACGCTTCAGGATGCAGGTGAGCGCGCCCGCCCGCGCACGCTCGCCAACGAGCGACTGCGCCAGTCGAGTAAAGCTTCCAAGCTCACAGTCAACACGGCGGGATCCGTCGCGCCTGGCGCCGAGGGAGGGGAGCCCGTGCGACCTCAGACGCACCGAAGGATTCTATCCAACGCATCTGCTCGCGGCCTTGTGACCGAGGAGCCCGGATCGCTAGGAGAGGACGGCGACGGCGGCGACGGGGACGAAGACTCGCTGTACGCGCTGTCTCTGACCGAAACCGAGCTGGATCAACTGGCTGACGAGGATGCGGACTCGGACAGCCCCGAAGGACGCCGTGCCAGGGCGAGGGCTCTGCATCGACACGAACGAGGCGCGGCGCAAGTCAAGGGCTTCCGAACGCTCACGTGGATGAAGACCAACGCCGAAGACGGCATGGCCAAGATGAAGCGACAGTTTGGCAAGCAGTCGAAACGCATGGGCAAGATGGAGGCTGAAGGCATCTCGCACTTTTAAATTTGTGGATCCGAAGCCATCATGTTCACGAGCAGCGGTGATGTTGTCTGCCCGTCTGTCCACCAAGAGAAAGAGAGCGTGGCCCTGGTGGTGGGTTGTGAGATCCGAGAAGATTCTGGAGCGTAGCGAGTGGAGTGTGTGGAGTTGGAGGCCGGAAGAGCGGTCCGGCGTCTTGCCGATCGGTGATTCAGAGTGCAGTCAGTGAGTTTTTGGGTTGGGCGGTAGAAAGCCGAGGTTAGGCACGCGAATGAAAATGCAGCGCGGCCTCCTCTTTACCCCAACACGCGCCAGCCAAGAAAGATGGCGATGACATCGCTGCGCCTGCCAGGCCTAGCTATTTTGGATCGATTACTTTGCAGGGAAGCTGCTGTTCTGTGTGTGTGGGCTGCTGGGAATTTTTCGAATTCCTCTCTTTGATTGCCCGTAGTCGAGAGGCCGGAGATACTGCACAGCGGTGGAGACGCGTTACAGGAGACAGCAGCGCTACGCTCTGACCACTACTCGCTTTTTTGGCGCAGAAGGTCCGGCTCGGGTGCCCACCCAAAGAGTCTCTCCCTTCGCGGAGAGGGCGCGCGGCAATGTGACTGATGCTGTGACTGCCAACTGCAGCTCTATCTCGTTGCCACGCCTCGCCTACACGCACTCGTCCGTCATCGGCACTGCAATCCTTCCGACCCGCTTGCAACTTGCAGTCCGCAACCACCACGATCAGCTCCGCTACACCTCTTTCCTCGCACCTTCACCCTCCAGGTCGTCGCTGGACAGCTGCAAGACATTATCGCTCAAGTCATCTAGCTTGCAGCATCCGAGACCGGCCTCATCTTGCCACACGACATACCCCCTCGTCGCCCTGAACCGTACTCCCTGACGAGTCTTCTCTTTGCAAGCTCGGTCGACCGCTGCCACGCTACCTCGTCGCATCGTTGTCTCGATACCCATCTCAGACGTCCGCTGGATCTACATCCGCAACCCGGGCGCTTTTGCAATTCGTCAACGGCCCATCTTCTAAGGCCAAGGATCTGCAAATCAAGCGATCGCTCAAGTATCGGTCTTGACGAGGAGCAGCCTGCAGTCTCGGATCTCTTGTCCAGGCTAGTCACGCACGCTCTCTGCAGCAGAGACCCTTCAGTTTCCAAGCTACTATTCCCGAACAAAGCGACAGAAGTCTTGTCTCTCCGCAGCTAGCCTTGCTGTCTGCTCCATATACACCATGCCGGCTACCAAGATCGCACCGTCGGTGCTTGCATCCGACCTCGGCAACCTCAATTGCGAGTGCAAGCGCATGATGGACTCGGGCGCCGACTGGCTCCACATGGACATCATGGACGGCCACTTTGTGCCTAACATCGTCATGGGCGCACCCGTCGTCGCCTCGGTCTCAAAAGCGGTCCCCAACATCTTTATGGACTGCCATATGATGGTTGCCGACCCGGGTAGGTGGGTCAAGGACATCGCCGAGGCAGGAGGCGCATCATATACGTTCCACCTCGAAGCAACCGATGACCCTATGGACGTAGTGCGTCAGATCAAGGCGACCAAGATGCGCGCCGCCGTAGCCATCAACCCGGGCACACCGGCATCCGAGATCTCGGACGAGCTGGGCAACGCAGTGGACATGATCCTCGTCATGACCGTATGGCCCGGAGCGGGTGGACAGAAGTTCATGAAGGAGTGCATGCCCAAGGTCGCCGAGCTCCGGGCGCGGTTTCCGGACCTCGACGTTGAGGTGGATGGCGGAGTGGGGCCCAAGACGATCGACAGGTGTGCAGATGCGGGGGCGAATATCATTGTGGCTGGAACGGCGATATTCAACCATCCGTCGCCCAAGGACGTCATCGCCTTCTTGCGCAGCAGATGCGACGAGGCGCAGGAACGCATCAAGAAGGAACGCGAACGCATCGCGCGCGGCGAATCGGTCGACCACGAGATCAAGCACTACGAAGACGGACGCAAGTCGGGCTGGGCTTCGGGAGCCATTACGCCTCTTTCGTATCCGCGCGTCTACATGTCTGCCACCAAGCGCGAAAAGCTCCGCAGAGAGAGCCAGGGCGCCTTGGAACGCGGAGAACGCCCCACGCTCAGCTCCCTCCAGGGCATGTCCGGCCTCTCCATCACACCCGCAGTCCAGGGCAAGTGACTAGCACGCCCCAGATCGCGTCTCTAGTTGCCCTCCCTCGTTTGTTCTCTTTTGCATCCAACTTACAGTCCTCGCCCCCTCATAGGCAATCTCATCTTGCATCCAACCACAGAGCTCGACGATGTCATTGCACTTTTACACACTGCCAGAATGCGTGCCACACGTCGCGAGCGAGCTTCGCCTTTCCTTGGGTGCGCTTACGCCTCGTCGGTGTCCAGGTTGTCGAGGAACCATTGGACGCGCTGCTTCTTGGTAAAGGGCACGTAGTAGCCGCCCAGTCGGAGTCGCTCGGCGGGAGGAACGATGCGGACCGCAAGCGCTTCGTTGGGATCGTCGATGGCGCCCGGAGGTAAGTGGGCGGCAACGATGCGCTTCAACACGTCGACTCGCTCGTGGCTGCCGAAATGGTTCGAGAGGTCAGCATCGCGAGAGAACAGGGGCGTGTTGCTCAGAAGCTCTTGTTCCTGCCGCGTCCAGCCGAGCGTCGTACGGATAGAGTCGACCATGTCCGCTTTGAATGAGGCTGAGTCCTTCGACGCAGCTCCAGGCGGGATAACCCATTTCTGCCCCGGCCTCGACGTAAGCTCGTCCTTGCGTGTCTCTGGCTGGCACCCAGTCCGGGAAATTTGCACGCGCGACTGCTGTGTCCGTGCCTCCTTGGCGTGCATGACCGTGTTGGTCCAAATGTCCTGACGTTCCACCGGCCAATCCGTCTCGCCGGCACGATGGCTTTCGTCCGACGGGGTCCCTTCGCCATCGGGCAACGGGTCCCAGCAGAGGTGAAGTTTTTGGAACTTTCCGCAGCCCAGACGCGCCAGCGCTTCTCTCTTTGGCGTCGAAACAGTCGTCTGGTTTCTGCCATTCAGCTGGGCTATCACTTGATTGCCTGCGCCACGATGGGGCGCTGCATGGCGGGGTCCCGTGTGCGAGAAGGCCTCAGTGACAGGGCGGAGTGGCTGATCGCCCCCGCTAGCCTCGCCGATGTCCGTCGTGAGCTCATCGAAGAAAGGCTTGAGCCGACTGGCCGTGATCTCGCATGGCCTGAAGGCGAACTTGCGCGTGTCGAAGCGAATCTTGACGTTCGTATTCCACTTCTCAGAATCTGTTGGTGGAATCCAATAATCGGGCGAGTTGTCAATGTTGTCGACAAAGTGCGACACATAGCCGCCACGTGAGATGCTGCCTGAGCGCATCCTTGCGAACAATTGTATGGGCATCGGCAATCCGCTGAGTTTGTTGCGACGGTCGATAGCTACGACATGTATTGATTGAAGTGCGGAATTTCCGTCGTCGTAGCTATGCGGCGGCTGATAGGTCCCATCCAGTTCGTCAAAGAACTCTCGCAGATAGACCTCGTCGGAATATGTCACCAGCAACTTGCGAACGAGCGGGAAGCCCGAACATTGCAGCAGGCGGCCGATCTCGTAATCTCCAAGGGCGAGATAGCTGACGTTCCGGAAATACATCAGCGGATCGTATTTAGCCAGCCGATCAATGCGATCTCTGTAGGCGACGATTCCCCAATCTGACGATTCCTCCTCGTCTTCTGTCTCGATGAAGAGATTGTAGACGAACTCGCCTGGCTGTTCGCTTGGCAAAGATATGAAAGGCTTACGACCCAGTGTCGAGTATTCCAAATCAAGGTCAGATATGACCAGCTTCAGCAGGCTGTCCAGCTGCGTCAAGCTCGTACACACTATGGTCCTCCATCGATCCGGTGCTGTCCAGCGGCACACCTTTTTTGAGACAAATGCGCAGGCGTGAGCGGTCGGAATGTGCGTTGAAGCGGCAAGCCGGAAGATGTGGCACAAAAGCTCGGCGGGCAGCTTGTGGACTCCCTCCAGGGGACTAGGCTCAAGGTCTCCAAGCTCCATCGTCCGTTTTATGTTCCCAGCTTTTGTGAGTCGCGAGGCAAGATAGGTTGGGTGATGAACACTCGAAGTGCAGATGTGGCGGGACTGCTTGGCCAGTCGCCTTTATAGGTGAGACTTGTTCATGGCCTGTGTGCGTGATGGTTGAGTATGAAGCTACAGCCGAGTGCGGTGGGCATGCGTAGATGAGAGAAGAGGGTTGCGCAGGCCGTGATGAAGCCGAGTGGCCGAAGGTCTTCGCCCATGAGAGGGTTCCGGTCCAGGCCGAGCGGGAGAGAGTCGGCTAGATCAAAGAGATCCGCATGACGAGTGGAGGCAAAATGCAGTTCGCGTCTCCGCGTGCGGACCAGCGCGACATTTTGGTGGTGTATCGGACATTTCCAACCCTCAGCGGAGAAGTGGCCGCTGCGCAGTCACTGCGCAGTCATGCGCAGTCTGCATAATGCTTTTGGAGCATCAGAGTGCCATCTGGTGGCACAGACCGCCACCGATATTCTCACGCATCCACAGAGCCACACAGGGAAAGTGCATCAAGGTTTCGGCAGTGCCGAAGTTGAGCTTTCATTTCTGTGAAGGTTTATCGGACTTTCCGATGCGCAGACTGTCTAGCTCCTGGGCAAGCTCATCAGCGGAAGAGAGGGCCTCTGAAACCACAGAACTCTCTGCTTTGGCTGTGGCCGGATCGACAGTCTCAATCCGCACGTCTTGACTGCTGCCTGCGGACGTGACTGCCTTCTTCGATGGATCCGCGGACTTGCGCAGACGAGAGTTGCGCCATGATCCTTCTCCGTGTGATGAGGCTTTCGGTGTGTCCGCCTCACTTGCAGTGCTTCTGGCTTCCCCCCTTGAATTCACCGCCAAGGCTGTTTGCCGTTGTTGTGTGTTCGAGCGCCAAGTGGTGCGTTGAGCCTCGAATCTCGGGGGTTCCAACGGTAATGCGGATGGCCGAGGTGATGCGGAAGAGTCCGCTGATGCTACTGCCGCTGCTGTGGACTGAGTCGGCACGCTGCCTGGAATGCCCTTCTTGCGAGCTTCTTCGGCTTCCCTGACTCGTGCCGGGCGGTAGCGCATCACATCCTCGACCGGTGTGAATCCAGGCCTCACTTTGCGCTCTTTCCGAACGCTGTGACATTTGCGAGGACAGAGACATCTTTCGATCAGCTACTTGTCCACGGCCTTCGACCGAAGCTGCTCTCGCGACGACTTACGATCCATCGGCACGCCTGGATTCGGGGATGACTCGCTGCTGCGTGTCTGCACGTTCCACAATCCCTGCTGCCGTCGGCTTGGAGCCTGAGGATGTTGAAGCGGCAGCGCTCATCGTTGGCTGCCGATGCCGAGTGGGGACGGAAACGAGCAAGACTGACAAAGAGCAAGGGGAAAGACAGTCGGTCGAAGCAAGCAAGCTGGACTACGTCCATTCCAAGACTCTCGTTCCGGTCGACGAGAATTCATTTGTGGACCCTGCAGCGCTCACGGCTTGTACATCGGGAAGCAGATTTGGCTCGTGACCGATTTTCGACTTCTGAGGAGCAGCAGCAGACGCGCATGGACCGCGACCTTTCACAAATCGACGTCGACGTGCAGCTCGCGCTGCCGGACGTGATGCAGAGCCGCGCGCGACGTCCGGAACGTGGCCGCGCTGCCGCTGTTGGGATCAGCCGCATCCTGCTCATGACTGAGCACGCTGGCTCCGTGCTCGAGCTCGGACCAAGTCCGCAGCCCTCCTGACTGGATCTTCCAGCGTTAAGGTTGCTCGAATCCGCGCCTCTTTTCCTTGCAGACCAACACCATCTCTTCCAACACACATTTGTATAGTCCATCATGAGCTCCATCACTGACCGCGCTGCCAACTTCATCTCGCGGGTGAACCCGCTCAAGGATCCCGGCTTCGCACAGGATGCGTCGCGCGCGCTCCACTACAACTACGGCCCCATCTCGATCCTGGCCGCGTTCGCTGGCTCGCACCTTCTGCTGCAGCACCGTCTTCCCATGGTCTTCTACGGGCTCGACAACATGGCCTACCCGCGTGACGATTTGCGTGTGCACGGCGACAAGGCGGTCGCCTCCGGCAAGATCACGCCCAAGACGCTCCGTCGCCTCAAGCGCTGGGAGGCGGCGCACTACAACGCCGTCGAAAACCTGCCGATCTTCATCGGCACCATCGTGTCGCTCCAGCTCGCGCGTGCCCCGAACAGCCTCATCAACCGCGTCGCTGGCGTCTATCTCACCGCGCGTGCCGCCTTCGCCGCGCTATACATCACGGTCGAGTCCGAGTCGCTCGCGTGGTTCCGCACCTTGGCCTGGTGGAGCGGCAACGTGACCTGCATCTATGGCCTCGTTCAGGCCGCCAAGATGCTCAACCACGGCGTCGGCACCGGTACCCCTGCTCTCTGAGCGATCGAAACCAGCATGAGTCGTACGCAGGGATGCCCTGCTTTCTTTTAGATCGAATGTGAAGCTTGCAAAGACATCCTTGTGGTCCTGCTGTCCTGATGATGTTGCGGCCGAGGTAGGCTTTGAAGTGCCCGTCGTGGGACATGGTGATGGGAGACCTACCGGACAGAAGGAAAGGGCTAGCGTAGGTGACCCGGCCGGGACCGACAGCCTCTTCATTCACAGTGCCTTCCATGGCTCCCATCAGCGTCCAGACCGGCGACATGCTCTGTGTGTCACGAGCCACGTTTCCCAGCGGTCGGTGAGTGGGATTACGCACGGTTCGGCAAGTTCGGTTACGAGAAGATTCGGCGATTGGAATCCCCGCCGCCAAAAAAAGTGGTTGCGGGCCGCTCACCTCCACACGCTCTTCAGCGTTGTCCCCCCGCACGAGGATCGAGTGGCACGGCCGTGCGCACGGCTCGGAGGAGACACCGATTGACAGACGCTTAACTCCGCCGGTACGAGACCTGCCGCGAAGCCTCGCCCTAGGCTCCGAACACGGCTGTGTGGAAGCCTGACGGTGCAGAAGTAGACCGCGCAGAGTTACTTTCCCCGTTATTGTCGATCCCCGCTGGGTACTTGCATGGCGGCAATACAAATATATATCCAAGCATTTGCTGACCTTCTTCCACTTTCTCACCATCAACCCATCATACCGAACCATCATGTCAACTCAGTACACTCTCTACTCGCACCGTGGTCCCGGACCGAACCCGCTCAAGGCAGCGGTGCTGATGGAGCACCTCGGCCTTTCGTACGACGTCGTGCCCCTCGACTTTGGTGACGATCCGGAGAAGGGTGTCAAGGGTGCCAAGTTCCTCAAGATCAACCCCAACGGTCGTGTCCCCTGCCTTGTCTCGAACGACAGCGACAAGTTTAGCGTCTGGGAGAGTGGTGCGATCCTCTACTACCTCTGCGACAAGCACGACAAGGAGGGCAAGTTCCTGGGCAAGTCCACCGAAGAGCGCGCTATTGTCATGCAATGGCTCACTCACCAACTTTCCGGTCTCGGCCCCGTGCAGGTAAGTCACTCCGAACCGCGCTTATACACGATCACAACACCACCTCTTGCGCTGTGATGACGCTGACCTTTCTCCATACTTGCTTCACCCAGGGCAATGTCAATTACCTGGTCCACTATTGGCAAGGAACCTACGGTGAAGAGCCTCAGAAGTCGGCGTTTACTCGCTTCGAGGGCGAGGCAGCTCGTTTGTACCAGGTGTTGGAGGACCAGCTGAAGAAGCAGCAGCAGCGCGGCTCGAGCTTTATTGCGCTCGACCGCCCTACCATCGCCGACTTTGCCTTCTGGACCTGGGTGCGCATTGCCAGCTTCGGCAACATCGATCTGTCGCCCTACCCGGCTGTGCAGAAGTGGTGCGCCACCATCGAGAACGACGCCAAGTCCCAGGCCGCCGTCGCGAAGCTTCCCATCAAGTGAACAAGCACACAATTCCATGCCAAAGTCATTCTGCCGTTCCATCGAATCTATCCATCAAGCTTTTGTGTGCGCGAGTGACAAGAAGAAAAGGTGTTTGAGCGGGAGGGAAAGGGCGAGGAGCGGGAGCGGGAGGAGGAGGAGGAGGATCGTGGTCGAAAGTGACAGGCGGAAAAAGAATGTCGAGTGTTAGGTCGAGTAGTCTGCATTTTTGTTGTTGGAGAACCGCGATTTGACACATTTAACCAAAAAATTCGCGCCCATCGTTATCCGCATCTGGCTCGTGTGCGGGTACGATGAAGGTCCTTGTTCCGCACCTCAACCGAGCTGTTCACGCTAGTATTGTCAAGCCATGCTCCCAGGCATTCGGGTCGGCAATCGCACGAGGACTTTTCACGGCGGCCTCTGTGTTGACATTGGCTGATCTCGAGTGTAGCGGGCTCGCCCACCTCGTGCGACCTCCACTCGCATTGGGGCGGCCGGCGCTGAGTCACTTTTGACACAGCAATCCAGCGCGTTCGCGAACGAGTGTGAGCGTCGATTCCTGACAGGTGACATCTGATGTGGTCAGCCGGCGTCCGGAGTGCTTTTGCGGCGTGCAACGCAAAGCAGACCCCGGTGGTCGGGGTCCAGTGGATGATGCGCCTCCGGATCAAGCCTCTTGCTCTGCTACAGGAAGAAGCAGTGACCGTAGCCGAGGTGCGATCGGGTTTGCTAAGCTCCAGGGTCCTACGCCCGCGTGCCGCCGAGATGGTCAGCCCGCTTGGGAGAAGCGAGGAATCGCACGACGTAGATGCTCGTCGAGCAAGGGTCACCTAGCTCTCCCTGACGTCTACGAGCTTGATCCCCGCACGAACAGTGTTGCGAGGCCCGGTCAGGATGTCAAAGTGAGGCATGATTCATCCTCAGTCGCCATGCCGATTCGGCTTAGGGCAGCATGCTCCACGTCCTTTCTGCACGAGAAAAGCTTCGATGACGCTGTCGAGACTGGCTTCTGACACTGCAGGAGAAAGATCTGCAATGTGCGTGTGACGCTTCATGCCTTCGAGAAGATATAAGAAGCGTGAAATCCTAGCATCCCTCATTTGCCTACCACCGAGTCTCCACATCAAAGCCCGCTTCACACTCTTTACACTCTACGCTCACTCAACCAATACAACCATGTCGGCCCAGGAAGAACAGATCCCGATCCAGGACGAGGGTGTCGAGGACACCAACGTCGACGCTCAGGCCGAGGACGAGGTAGCCGCCAGCGGCTCGGAGCAGAAGCAGTTGAATGCCGAGGCTTCGGAGCTGGACGAGTCGAACATCATCGACAACTCGCCCGGCGTTTCGACGCGCGGCGCCAAGGTCGACGCCACCAAGCAGGTAAGTGCCCTCCGACGAGAACCCTTCGCCAAGGATGCGTACTGATCAAAGCGTCCTTCTCTTCTGCCCGTCTTTGTGCAACACAGGAGCGAGAGGTCGACGAGGCCGTCGCTGCCGCCGAGAAGGCCGACGAGTCGACCTAGATAGCCATGCATCGGAATGCTAGCTTGCCGTTATCCGTCGCTAGCCACTCGCGATCGCTATAAATCTAGATACCACCCGCTCGGTGATACCTGCTATACCCTCTCGCAGCGTGCTTTCCTGAGAGCCTGCGATCTGGTGCTGAGCGAAGTTGGCGTCGTGCCCGACGAGTCTGCCGGATGCTGCGAGGATGTTGTCGCGCGTGCAGGAAAGGCGAATGAGACGAGATGAGAACGGGAGCCTCGAGCATCAGGCTGGAGTCGTGCTTGCATGTGCGGCGTCGAATGCACCAAATGAGGCTGGAAAACGGATTGCATTGTTTTGCTGATGATACTGCAACGCGCTGAATAGGTCAGATAGCGAGTTGGACGACAATCTAGTGGTGGCCGGCGTGCTCGTCACCCTCGAAGTCCATTTGGTAGACTGTGCAAGCAGGCAGAGCGGGATGTCAGCAGACGGAAGGTGAGGACCCGATCGGGCGGTTGTTATCAAGGACTTACCACTGCCGCACTCGGGGCATCGGTGGTGCTTGAGGTCGCGGTTGAGGTGGAGGTAGATGGTGTCGTGCGAGTCGGCGGGGTAACCGGTGCAGCCGACGATACGGGTGGGCCACTGCGGGTGAGGACACGGAGCGAAAGGAAGAAAGGTCAGTTGTTGGACATCTAAGCGGCGCTGGATCGGAACAGCTCTGGAGTTGAGAGCATCTGCGGGTGTTGCAAAAGACTCACGTAGGACTTGATCTGGATGGGGTTCTCGGTGGTTCCGAGGTGGGTCATCTGAAGGGGCTCCATGTCGAAGACCTCCTGGCCCTGGAGCTTTCCGAGGAGCTCGAAACGCTCGAGACCGGTGGCCTGCTGCTCGTCGGTGGGCATCTCACCGTCCTTGCCGCCCTCGCCTTGGATGACGGGAGGGCCGGCGGCGAAGCGGAGCGCGGACGAGGTGAAGAGACGCGGGGCGGCGGTGACCGGGGTGGGGGCGACGCGGAGCGCGGCGGGAGCGCGGGCGACGAGACGGCGGGCGGCGAAGAGCATGGTGACGATGATCGACCGGTGGGGATGTGATGAGAAGATGGAGGTGTTGATGGTGACGAGCGGTTGGAAAAATGTCGATGGCAATTGGATCCCACGCTCGAGGCGTGCCCGATTCGTGATTGCGACCTCCAACCGGCTCCGTCGACTCTTCTGCGTGCGCGACATCTGGGCGCGGACGGGAGCAGGCAGGCCCTTGATCTTCCGACAGCAGCGCCTGGCCAACGCGGATGGGAATTTGCGTTTCAAACTGCTTCTTCCTCTCGCCCGGGTTGTCTGTGCTGTTCGGGTCCGACAAGATTTCTCTGGATGTCAAGATGGTAGCTCTCTAACACGCTTTGAAAAATGCCTGACGAGTAGCCGGACCCTTCTTTACCCCGCAAGCTTCGCGTTGGGGAGGTGGACCCGGCGCCGGCTAATCCGAACGAAAGCCCAAAAGGACCACGAGCCGAGCCTTCTCCACAGTGTCGGATGACGGCCGAGCGTGCTGTTGGGGCTGCTCGTTGGCAGTAAGGGCCATGCAGGCCCGCAGCCGGTCGGGTCAATCCAAGCAGACGCTCAACATGAGGTCGCTTTGGCCCGAACGAGCCCAGCTTTGCTGCGCCGGCAAAGTGCACGGTGTGTACCACAGCAGCGTACGGTCCGGTCCGCTGCAGCAAGCATTGGTGATTGTGCAGCTCTTCCTGCCCACGAGCGGAATTGCCCCGACGAGCCGGCAAGCTTCATTTTGCTCTCTCATGAACCGATTCATATGTGTATAGGCGATTCGAGCGTTCTCCTTCCTGTTCCACATCACACCCTCGTCACCCCATCACAATCCTCAGCGGGACACGGCCCTACATCGAGCACCTGTATAGTCGCTTCGTCACCCTTCGACCATGCCGCCTCGCTCCTTGCACCTCCACGGTGCGTTTGCACCAGCGTCAGCGTCGGCAACATCCGCAATTGCGAGGGCCGCCGCTGTCAGGCGGATTGCGCGACACGCTTCATCCCTCCGATCAGCGTACCAGCAGCATCCCACCAAGCTCGACTCGTCCGGCGCGCTGCTTTCCAGAGTCTCGGGACCGATCGACAAGCCGCTCTGCGAGCTCTCCCTCGGACAGTTCTGGCACCAAGCCGTCGCAAAGTATGCCGAACGGCCTGCGCTCATCTCAAAGCACGAACCGGCATCCCAGCACGGCAAAGGTGCTTCCTCCAACGACTGCATTCGCTGGTCGTACGGCGAAATGAACGAGCACGTACAGAGTCTCGTTGCCGGCCTCCAAAAGCTCGGGGTCCGCAAAGGCGACCGTGTAGCTGTCCTCATGATGTACGCTGCAACCCCGCGCCCGCTGTCCTGATGGAAGAACTCTCGCTGACTCTGCCTCTGACTCCTTTGCTTTCCCGTGCACCAGGAATTGCTCTGCGTACGGTGCCTTGCAGTGGGCATGTGCCGAGATTGGCGCGGTGCTCGTCACGCTCAACCCTGCGTACAGCACGTCCGAGCTGCGGCGCGCCATCACGCTCGTCGAGGCTACCACTCTTTTTATCGTTCCGTCGTTGCGCGGATCCAACTATCTCGACTCGCTCCTCGAGCTGCTCCCCTCGCTCGCAGGCTCGACATCCTCGGGCGGCGACGCCACAGTCTTGGACGATCCAGAGCTTCCATCTCTCAAACGCATCGTGCTCGTCGACAATCTCGACAGCCGCCCGCGTCACTGGGAAAGCAGCAGCGTGCTTGCTCAGCAAGGAAAGTCGTTCTCCGATGCAATGGCAGCTCTGAACAATCGTGCGCTCGACTATCGCGATCTTCTCGTCTCTTCGTCACCCAGCAGCGCCAAGGAGGAGGTGCACAACACCGACGTCATCAACCTCCAGCTCACCTCGGGCACCACAGGAAAGCCCAAGGCAGTCGCTCTGAATTCTCGAAACCTCCTCAACAACGGCATCGCTATCGGCGATAATCTCAGGTTCACCGAAGCCGACAAGCTCTGCAACGTGCCGCCTCTGTTCCGTGAGTATGCTCATTGCGTCTCAGCTGCTTGCTCGACTTGCAACTAACTTTTGACCTCCGTACCACGTCGGCGCGCGTTTGTAGACTGTTTCGGCCTGGTCTTGGGCAACTTGGCGGCTTGGACTCACGGCGCCTCCGTTGTCTACGCCGCCGAAGGATTCGACCCACTCCGATCGCTTCGCGCCGTCTCGGAGGAACAGTGTACAGCTATGCACGGCGTACCCACCCACTTTATCGCCGAGCTCGAACTGCTTGAATCCGCTAGAGACCATGCCGAAGACCCATCGCGCTTTCCCGTCCCGAAGGGCATGCTCGAGGGCGAGACGTTCGACTTTTCCTCCTTGCGCACCGGCCTCACCAGGTACGAATCTGTACGCTTCAGGCAAAGACTTCCGATTGAGACTCAACTGACCAAGCCCGTTCTGCATTCCATACCGGTCCGTGCAGTGGTTCGACGGTTCCCATCGCATTGATGGAGGCCCTAGTCAGCCCGGGCAAGCTCGGTCTCCGCGAGCAGACGGTGGTGTACGGCATGACCGAGACTTCTCCCGTCACGTTTGGCTGCGGTGAGTGACCCCTCACCCTTTGTTTCTCTGCAGAGTGCATCGACTGACGGTTCGCATCGGCTTTGGGTCTCGGTACAGATGTGGACGCGCCTATTGTCCGCCGATGCGAGACGGTGGGACGCGTCTACCCCCACGTCCATGCCAAGATTGTCTCGCCCGACGACCCTACTGGCAAGCCGCTGCCCGTGGGCGAGCCGGGAGAACTATGCGTAAGCTGGTCGGAGGATGCTGCCTTGACCGAACGGCGTGTACTGACGAGCGTGTTCTGCCTGACCTGCACGCGTGCCGACACGGACATGAACGACTCCGAAATTAGACGGCAGGCTACGTCGTCATGCAAGGCTACTGGAAGGATGCCAAACGCACCGACGAAGCCATGGAGCGGCACCCAGACGAGCCCGACATCCTCTGGATGCGCACGGGCGACATTGCCATCATGGACGAAGAGGGCTACGTCCGCATCGTCGGCCGCTCCAAGGACGTCATCATCCGCGGAGGTGAGTGAAAGCGTGTGATCACAGCGGCGACGCGTAAGCATATTGACGCCACGCCCTTTCCGACTTCATCTGTTCGCGCCCTATCCAACGTGCCGCAATGCAGGCGAGAATCTCTTCCCGCCCAACATCGAAAAGTGAGTATTGTATCATAGGAGCGGCTGGTGCATGGCTTGCTTCGGCCGGCCAATCATTTCTTGGCGCCTGCATCCAGCGCACAATCACACTTTGGACAATCACCCGCTGACGCTTTGGACGCGAGCGACTTCATTTCGGCTCAACCTTGGTTTGACCTGCAGCTGCATCGATCGCATGGAAGGCGTTGCCACCAACGCAGTCATCGCCGTCCCCGACGACAAGTACGGAGAGGTAAGCGATCTACGCTGGCCCCTCTTTATAACTGGATGGCTCGGCTCACACCTCGCTTTGCTTTTGTTACCAACGCTGCGGCCATGTGTAGGCGGTGGGAGTGTTTGTTGCGAGATCGCACGCGGAGGCGCACGTCTCGCCAGCGGAGGTGCGTGCCTATGTCAAGAAGCACGTTGGCGGACAGAGTGCGCCCGCCTGGGTTTGGTTCCTCGGCGAGGATGGCGTCCCCACCGAGTTTCCCAAGACTGCCTCGGGCAAGATTCAAAAGGTGCGTACACGCGTCCCTTGCTTTAGACTGAAAGCGTGCCGCTCCGACGCGGAGAGAACCACTGAGCCTGACGATCTGATTTGCTGCCTTGTCCTCGCTGCTCTTTCGGTCAACCTTGTCGCCATGATGCTCGGTCGGACCCGTGAACTCTATTCCATGCCCGTGCGACGCCAACCTTGACCTTCTTGGTGGCTCTAAAACGAATCGCGCACAGGTCATCCTCCGCGACTGGGCCAAGGACCTCGCGAGCAAGAACCAGGGCAAGGTGGACAAGGTTTAGTTCACCAGGCCTGCCGTGTGCTGTACGTCGTGGCATGGAGAGGAATACAAGCGTGCAACTATGCGCACAGCGCCAGCGTGCGAGTCAAAGCTGGCTCCTCCTCCGATCCGAATGTGTCTGCTGGTGTCGGACTGAGCACAGGATCGTGGCCAACGAACTGGGAACCAGGATCCGCCTTTGGACGCAGTGCACTCACAAGAGGGCTGTCGGTAGCGCGGTCAGGGCACAGAGAGCACGCCGGAAGCTTTCCTTGTGTTGTCGTTGTGCCACTGTACGCAATGGTTGGTTCATTGTCCTCCTCGATCAGACGGAAAGCGGCATGGCACCCCAGTCTGCTGAGAGCGCCCGTGCAGCGCCGCGTCCGAGAAGCTCGTTCATGCGCCTGGATGCAGCCAGTCCTCGTACGGATGCTTTGTTCTTCTCCGTACCGTCCCGGCGCCCTTATATTAGAGGGGCGCTTTGCGAATTGCCATGCCCCCATCGGATGCTCCGAAGCTACCCGCTATCAGCTCATCGAAACTCCACCGATTCCCGATCATCATTGATACTCAAGATCACCAAGATGCGGTCATCCGGCGGTGATGTTCACCGCTCGTGCTCTTTTTGGTAAGTCGTCTCCTCTTGCGCCTCGCTTTGAGATTCGGGCTGAGCCACTGACAGGGCCACGATCGCCGTTCTCTTGCGGATAGCCGCCACCGGAAGATGCGGTAAGCCTCACATTGCCTCGGTGACGACAACTTTGACGAGGTCCTCAGTCCTGATCATCTGCGCTCACCCCCTGTTTGTTGCGGATCGCCACGCGTACAGATGCTCCGGAGTAAGTTTTCCCCTTTCACATGGTGAGACGATCCAATCCCACTGACGCTTTCCTCCTGGATGTTCAACAGGATAAGCCTTGGTGCCGAAACTGCAAAGAGCGCGGCATGCCGTGTAAGTCCATCCACCCCGATACTGTGTGGCCAGGCAGACCAGCTGACCAAGTGTTTCTCTCTGTTCCTAGGCGTGTACGACACGGGCCTGATCAGGATCAAGAAGCACGATGATGATGGGCCGCACCAATCATCCACGCTTCTTTTCCCCGCGACCAACCAGAGCATCCCTCTCATCCGTGAACTCGAATCGCTCTTCAGCGTAAGTCCCTCCGACGCCGCTCACCCCTCTGAAACTACGTAGTGTGCTCAACGTGCATTGTTGCTTGTCACGATCAGAAATTGTGGTCAAGAACTCGGGGATGCTGGTTGCGTGCAACCGCCGCGCGCCCCGCCCAGCAGGAGACCACGCCAGACATCGACGTAAGTGCTTTTGGTGTATGAACTTGGACCGCGGTAGTCACCGCTAACGCAATGCTAGGGCAAAGCAGTACCAGAACGGACTTTCGCATATCCTTGCCGAGATCATCTCTATGCTTGTAAGTAGTCGAACCAGAACCTACCAGCATGCTCATTCGTTCTGGTCTGACCAGGATCAACGTTTCGGCTCGTGCATAGGCTGTCAAGACACTTCCGTTCGGCGACAGACTGGAGCGTATCAGCGCTGTCGTCCTCGCCACGGGCAGCAGAGCAGCTGCCACCGACTCGTTCGCGTCGTAAGTATAGCATTTCCGCCTTGATCTGTGATCGCCCTCGGCTGACAGAATCTCCCATTGCCGCCTTGGGACTGCAGCATCCCACATCACCACATCGACAGCCAGACTCTGGACAAGCAACGTCAACTCCAGCTCGTCGACCTCGCCTATTGCAGCCATCCCTTCCTGGCGGTCATCTTATCTAAGACTGTAAGTATACTGCATCGCCTCGTTCCACATTGTAGGGAAGCCGACTTACACTTCTTTGATCTCTGTAGCTGTTCATGAGGGCCTTTAACCAGGGCGCGCACGACAAAGTTCTACTAAACGCCATCCTTTTGGCGGGTCTGGGTCTCAAGTGCACCCTGACGGGCACCGCCGAGGCGGCTCGCGAGGAGCTGGTCGAGCTCCACGTCATGGCCAACAGGACGGCCGCATCGCTGTTCAGCGTGTTGCTCGGCAGCCTCAACGCCAACAGGCTTCAGACCTGCGTGCAGAGCATCATGCTGCTCGCCTGGCACGACCTCACGCAAGGCCACACCAGGTACGTCGACCCCATCACCCATACTTTTCAGAAAAAGACGGAGTCAAACTGACTGATCGTGGATGTCAACAGGCGCTCGTCGACTTGGTGGACGATGGCATGCGATCTGATCCTGCGCGTGCGCTCGCTGCGTGCGCATGAAGACGTGATCGAAAGCCAGATCAACGGCTTCGACATCACGTCGCTGCGCGAGGAGGAGCTGGAACACATGCAGGCCATCAGTCAGCTCATGCTGCTCTACTTCGAAACCTCGCTGGGCGCGATTCCGGTGCCGCACAATCTGCTGTGGCGCAGCGCCAGCCGCAACAATCTGGCAGCGGCCTCAAACATATGGGAGCTCGACGACATCAGCGGCAACGTGGCCTCAGCCGAGGGACTCATGCGTGCACGCCGAATCGTCCACCGCATCCAAGCGGTGCTCAGCAGTCTGTCGGATCGACACGCCGACCTCAAGAACGCAGGCGACCCCATGGCGGCCAGCGAGGAGCACGAAGGCAAGGTGAGCTCATTGCTCATGTACGCCGGCTTCACGGGCATACGCATGGCGGGTCCGATCCTGACGCTCAGCGCACTGCTATTGTGTCTCCACCGCTATGGTGCGAGAGAGATGGACAAGGTGGCGGTGACCAGCATCATCCGTGTCTGCGCAGCCGCGTGTCTGCATCTGCGAGAAATCTTCGGCGATGCGGTCTGCACCTCCACCCGCACCAGCTCGGCCGTTTCCTTGTCGGAAGCTGCTGCCGACTCGTCGATCGCTCTCTGCATCATGGAATGCGTAGCCCAAGCGTTCGGTGCCCTAATGGTCGAGTGTGGCGCAGCTCATCCGGGCGAAGCGCCTTTCTCGAGAGCCACGGACGATTCCGGCTCGATGAAGCTCTCTCGAGGAGCGCAGCAGATGGTGGTGGAGAAGCTGGGCGTGGTGATGGGCATCGTGTGCACCATGGTGGACTGCCTCGACAATGTGCCAGTAGGCGGTGCTCGCGCCGGGCGCATTGGCAACCTGCTCTACCGGCTGCGTGGCCGGCTGGAAGCGCTGCAGATCCAGGCGGACGTGTCGTTCGCGTTCGAGACGGCATGCACCAGCAGCAGCGCCAGCAACTCTCAAGGCAAAAGACCCAGTCTTACGGAGGATGCTCAAAGCGAGTCCGAGCCGGATGTGATGGCAAGGAGCATCGATGGTTCTTACGACGAAACCAGGGCACCAGCACCAGCGTTGGAGCACGGAGGTCAAGTATCGACGGAGCGCCACGCAGTGACGTCGGTATCAGCATACGGCGCCGCTCCGCACGCCTCGGCTGCCAGCGCTTTCAGCGAGGCGTACGCACCCTCGCTGCCTCTGCAGCAATACTCGTTCAACAACCAGGTGATGTACGCGCCGGGGCCGATGTCGACGTGGAGACCAGGTGTTGTACCGAATATGGGATCGGAGGGCAGCGCGTGGATCACCGAGACCAAGGTGACCGAGACGCGATCGGTGCATGCAGCCAAGGGCGACGAGGACTGGACGGGCGGTGCATTCTCAACTGCCGAGATGTCAGCGTCGAGCTACAGCGAGATGTCGGTGCCGATGTCTATGCCTCAGATCGAATCGGGCTTTCGCCGGGCTGGACCAAACACGGGGCTGTCGGAATCGCTGCCTTCGAGCATGGCGGGCAAGGCATTTGGACGTGGGATGCCGCAGTACGCCCACGCGCATACGCATGGCCGGACCATGTCGATGATGCCCATGAGCATGCTTTGTAAGTGGAATGCCGGCGAGTGGGAGAAGCGCGCGGGACGACGCTGATAGACGGGGCATTGACGTTCATTGACACGAAGACAGACCGACACAATGAAGGCGGACGCGAAGCTCACGGCACGGCAACGAGCGAGATGGACTCCTTCTTTGCGCAGTCCGAGGGCGGGATGGCCCAGAACGCTGGCGCTGTGGATGGAGGCCGAAAGCGGGCGCGGGGTGAGGCTCATGCGATGCGACAGATCTATTCGGGAACAAAACCGGTGGCGAGCAGCAACAGCAACAGCGGCAGCAGCAGCAGCGGCGGCGGCGGCAGCGGCGGGACTTGTCGACGCACCGAGGTGATCTGGGGTGCAACAACGGCGGAGGGAGAAGGACGGGCGATTCCCGCTGCAGCAGCGCTGGCATCGATCCAGCGCGTTGAGCCGCTGACCGACGCGGCGTACGCGATGGCTGCGAGCGCAGACTGGCCGCTCGAGATCAGGGAGCGGTCGATGAGCTGCAGCGACGGGTCGAGCTGTGCATCGTCGCGATCCGAAGCGGACCATGGCTACGATACGGCCAACGACGCCTGAGGCATAGCCGAGTGTGCCAAGCTTGCAAGTGGCATTGGACGAGAGGACTAGACTAGGCACCGCACGGCTACGCATCGCCTCGCGTGGCAAGACCATGGAAACCCTGTGAAATGAGATTCCGAGACCGACGTGGATGTGACTGTGACTGCGCAGCCTGATGTGTGTGGGTCTGCCGTAGGTACAGCTGGCTAGTCGCCGGCTATTGACCGAGTGCGCCCGCGAACGTGGACCTAGAGAGAGACATGGAGCAAGCAAGCCAGTGTGACACCGAGGAAGTGACCCTGGTGAGGCAAAGGCGCGCGGCACAGTCTGACCGCCGCTGGTTGGTTGGGTGACATCGGGAATCTCTCGTGCTGGAACCCCTCTTGGGCGGCAGGTACGCGTGGGCAGCAAGCGAAAGCAAAAGCAAAAGCAAGAGCAAGCAGAGCGCGTCGGATGCGACCGAGCGGAATTGCGGGCAAAAGGGAAGCCAGTGTGGAAACACTGCGCAGCTGCAGGCGCATGCAGACTCGGAGTCGTCTTTCGGCAATCTCTGTGCGGTCTGATTGGCGCTCTTTTGTCTCGGTGCTTTCCCCCTCCTTCCCCCCGCAGCCGGGCCATACGCTGCTGCTGTTGCCCCACGCTCGGTCGGTCTCGCCTGATTCTCCGTGAATCACGGCGCTCGAAGCTGCAATGCAACGCAGCCTGGCTCCGGGTGCGGCCAAGCCGAAGCATCGCCATCCGCTCCCCCCGCGCGCTCGTGCTCACGCCAACTCACACCACGCCTCTCTCAAATTCCGCTTCATCAGACGGAACAAAGCCGAACCGGCCGTGGGAATTCGGTTTTTTCGTGTGGTGTTCTGGCTGGCCGTGAACCTCGTTTAGGGCCCATCACAGGTCCGAGCGGAGGGGCCGACAGAGCGCGTGTGGAGTCAGAGAGTGAGAGTGAAAGAGAGAGAGAGAGAGAGA